TTACATCTGGGGCTATTCTGTGTGGAGCTTGCAGAGTAACGCTACGCAAGTGTGGACCGTCTCTGGGAATTTCTGCCAATTCTTTATTTCTGTACTAATTGCGTACGGCGGCTGTTGCTCAGGAGGAAAGAGCAGTTGCCCACTGATTGGGGGGTCAGTGGTCCAACTCCATGTTCCTCCAGACCACATGTTGAAGAGTCCTTGGGCAAGGGTCTGAACCCCCAGTTGCCTACTGGTTTCATCCAGTGCGCCCACTGGTGCAACCAGTGTGTGAATGTGTGTAACAGTCAGATTAAAGTCCAGTCGCTTATTAACCCTGAGCGGGATGAAGCAGCTATAGAAAAGCGAGCTAAGAGTGGAGACATTTTTGTCTTGGCTGAGGATCAGACATGGATTAAAAAGTTCCCCAAACTACTAGTACATGAAAAGAAAAGCCTGTAACATTTTCATTATAGGACACCCATGTTCATGTCACACAGCAGAACTGACAACAGGGAAATTTGCCTTGTTTTTATTAGAGAAAAAATATGGTTGAGCTGTACTGAGGCAGAAGATGAGGAAGACTCACACATCTCTTTGGACATTTTGGCCTTTACCCTGTTCTGGCTCTTCCCTCCTGTTGAATGTGCCCAAAAAAGACTCCAAAGGAAAGTAACCAGACGGAATCCTAACCAGATGGTCGAGCTCCTCACCTTTAAAGCTTGAGCCCCGGCACCCTTCAAAGGAAGCCTATTTCAGACACTTGTATCAGCGGCCTCATTCTCTCTGCCACTTCCCAGATCTGTGGCCATACAAGCTGAGAGTTGCAGAAGAAAGAGGGAGCAGGGAAAGCTCACCCTCTGGCCAGCTCCCTTTTGACCACAATGTGCAGCACCCTCATTACTGCCAATAAAGCCCCGGGCTGTTCATCTCTCTCACTCCCACTTTACACATGAACCAGGTCCTGATATACTTAGACTTCTGTTTGCTAAAAGAGATCAGGCACAATCTAACAAGTGGATTTACCTGATGACATGACCGACTCTTTATCAACAAATTCAACTGCTATATTTGGTTATATTCAGTTACTGTATCACACTTCACAGAATGCCATTGATTGCCCAAAGCTCTCAGTCAGAAATATTTCCCAACGTGTGTAACACCATCATCATAAAAGAACACTTTAAGAAAACAATTCACATTAAGAGTCAAACGTCAGAAGTTTTTCATGAGCAACCGTTACCCAGAAAATGAAAAGAATAACACATTTCTGAGTCACTTCTTACAAAGAGACATGCATATGCATCGAATCAGACCCCCAGCATCTGGGACCTCCACTGCAAAAGTGGAAACAGAACTGAACAGAAGGACTCTCTGTGGCCAAAGGTGACAAGGGTTGTGCAATAGCTACTATCAGAAAGTTATTGGGTTCTTCTACCAAACCTTCTGGGAGAGATAAAAAAAAGAGATGTGGGGGGTAAAAATGAGAAGGACAAGCTTCTGGGTAAAAAGGGAAAAGAACGTGCTGGTTTTAGAAAGGGAAAAAAAAAAAGGAAAAACAGGGATGTGGGAGAAGAAGTGAATCTGTGAGACGAGCAACACAGTTAAAAAAAAAAAAGCAGATGGTGGGGGGTGAAACAGGCGGGGAGAGTTTGTGTGTGTGAATGCATGTGATTCATTGGTCCATGGATGGGGATGTCAATGCGGGGGGTAAAGCTTTATCCAACATGAACAACCCCCCCTAAGAGCATTAGCTATGAGTAGACCTACAGGGGATGGTGGGGGACAAGTAGAGGCGAGGGGAGAAAAGCTGAACACAGAGCCAAGAGAAATGGTAAATGTGAAAAGAGAGAGGTGGAGGAAACGGGATAAGCAGGAGGATGTCAGCAGAGGTGAGGGAATGAAAGAAAAGCCGAAGGTGCAGGAGTTTTAGGATGTATAAAAGGAAAGCAACCATTAAAATAACAGGTAATTGAGAAATGACATCACCACGAATGACAAACATGGACACATGGAAGCAGTACTCACAGAGTCAGAGCAGAGCTCACATGTATTTTAAATGTGGCCAAAAGCTTTCACTGGATAAATATTAAAAGCTGAAAACATATTTTTTATTTGATCCATGTGACTAAAGAAACCATGTGTAAGATATTACTTAGTTAAAGATCACTTAAGATGCCATATATTAGTGAAGTTGAAAAAAGTGATTAATCACCCATCCATTATCAATACCGCTTATTCCCAGTAGGGCTGGAAGCTAACCCGGCTCACACTGGGGGAGAGGCGGGGTGCACCCTGGACAGGTCACTGCCCATCACAGTGGAAGCCATTGAAGCTTTTAACGTAGTAGACCTCAACATGCTGTCTAACTGTTTGTACTCTTGCAGTAATGAAAACTGTCTGCAAAGTGGAACACGGCCAAAATTATTCTAAGGCTTAAAAAAACAAACGAAAAACACGCATGGTCTTTGTCGTGCTTCTTGTGCCTGCTTTGGCTCCTACTTTTTCAGAATCTTACATTTCTAATGCAGTCCGAATTCTAAACATTTGGACTGCATTTGGAATAAAACTTTTTTTTTTTGCAAAACGTCTAAGACATAGGTCTAACAAAACTGTATGGCACATTTAGAAAGGGGAAAACAGAACTGCAACAAATGCATGATGATGCCAGAAATACAACTTGTTCTAATGTAATTTACGTATGAATAAACCTGTACCTTAGATTTGTGTAACACTTAAATTGGTCTACGTCACAGAATAACGTGTGCTATTACCAATCTCTGGTCTGGAAAACTATTTTATGCCTGAAAAAAACTTTCAAAACTTCAGTACTTTGTAATATAACCTTTTCATGAAGTTACTAAAGTATGGGAGCTGAGAGTAACCTTGATGGCTGTGATGCACTTTGCTGCTGTTATTTCAACATCACAGGTTGATTTTCTGCTATTTTGGCAGAATGCCAGAGAAAGAACTTTCACTTTTATGCTTACATGAAAGTGCGAGGGATCTGTTTTTATATATCAGTGTTAGCACCTGGAATTCGGTTTGCTGAGTTAATTTGTTCTCTTGATCACAGACAGTGAGATCTTTTAGAGATTTACATTGCTAAAGAAATTAAATCAATGTCCCAATAAAGAAAAACAAAAACTGTGTCTTCTTAAGATGATGAAACAACTATTCATGAGAAAATAAGAACTGAGACAGCATTGATCTCACAAAAGTTCAAGACTGAATGGCTGAATGTCCTTATTTATGGCAGCTGGTAACAGCAAATGCACACTGATAATACCACAGCTCTCCGGTCTGCTTTGAATTTGAGAGTAACAATGAACACTTTTCAGACTGTCACAAATTCCTTTGTCCTACACAGCAGAAATAACAAATTCAAAACATGTGATATAGCTTTTAAAGTGGAGGCAAACACCAGTCCTGCCAACTTGGCAATTTATTCACCCGCCAAAGTGTGTGAATAAATCTGCCCTGAAGCAGAATCAAACACCTCTCTCTGCCCTGCTGCTCTGTGAAAAGTAGCTGGGCCTGTGATGCCCCTCGGCAGCTTTGGGCTTGCAGTTGGTCATTGGAGGTTTTGAACTGTTTGAAAAAAGTTGTTGCAGACTATTAGTCTTCTTTTAACTTATTTCACTGTGCACGTGGACATTGGTGGAAACACTGCCCGCGTATTGCCAGATTTCAGATGATGCTTTGGTTATGATACATGCATTTTGTCAAGGAAATAACAGAGTAGAAATATTCTGATTTCAGTAATACGTTCATCGTGTAAAAGAATGAAAGAAACAGAGATAATATGACTAGCTTAAAAACATGGCAACAGGGGGAGTAGAAGGGAACTAAAAATGTAAAGGGCTGGGCAAAGCAGAACACAAATACTTAAGATACTCTATGTACCAGCAGCACACCTGATACAGTGAGCCAGTTGAAAATCAGACTGAACAGAAGCCATCCATCCATCCATCCATCCATCCATCCATCCATCCATCCATCCA